GGGGTGGGCCTCTTGGGGCCTCTGAGGGTCTTCTTGGGGGCCTCTTGGGGCCATCTTGGGACCATCTTGGGGCCATCTTGGGGCCATCTTGGGACCTCTTGGGGCCTCCTAGAATGCTGGTGGGATTCAGCGCCTGCGCCCTCCACCCTCAGGCTGCGCTGACTGGTCGCACACTCGCAGGCGCGAGAGGGCAGTGAACCTCGCAGCGTGCTACCTGCGACCTGTGGCTTACTCCTGCCACGCAAAAGGCAATTGGCAACTTCTCCGCGGGAAGGGTTGCAGCCTCGCCTGCTGGGTTTTGTGGGCCCCATACATGGCCAAGCGTAATCCCCCGACTATCATAGAAGCGCCCTTGTCGACCGGGACGCCTAAAAACAGCCACCCGGTATATTGGTGCACAGGGACCCCTGCGGTAGAGACCCGACGAGGAGTCTGCACAAGTTCCTTCTGTGGCGCGGTCTCCTCTGGCACAATGCTGCCACCGCACCACAAACGGGTGTGTCTGGTACCCCCAGCCACGTGTATGCCTGGCGCAAGATCAGGCAACACCGCACTCGCACCACTCTTTCAGACGTGTCAGCCAGGAAAGACAGGTAATTGTCAGACTTGTCAGCAGGATGTTTCTCCGGGCGCGGCACGTGGGCTTGATGTTTAGAAAGCTGCGCAGGGGGACCTGGGGACCAGAAAACGAGTACGCACCGCGGTGTTCCACAGGGCGGTCGCGTAGCCCGGGATTGTTTGCGGCACTGCCTTCACCGAGAGAGCTGACGGTACCCGACGCGAGCTTTGAGTCGACACCTGCGGCTGGGAACGCCCCTTTGTGGGTGACGCTGCGCTGGTGTCACTTACAGCTGCTGGTACCAATGCGCTCGGTGCCGCTCCCAGGGTGCTGCTGGATCCTAACCGCCCTGGCCCTGACGCGGGCCAGGAGGCCCCCAGGGAAAGGAGGGCGGGAGCGAAGCAGGCCAGAGCGACGTCCTCCGGAGCGCGGGCAGGCGCGAGCTCCTTGGACCGCGCCGCGGGCGCGCGGGGCTGGACGGCGCCTGCCCCCCGTCCCCCGTCCCCCGCCCCCCGCCACCAGGCAGTCCGAGGGCACCCAGCTGCCCGCAAGCGGGGAGGCAGGCAGAGCGAAGGGGAGCAGGAAAGCTGGCGCCACGGCGTCGGCGCTGCAAGGAACCCACAAAACCGCAGGGAATTGCCCCACACGCGACCGCGCTCGGGGAGGGTCTTCCTGGTCGTCGGCGAGGCGCGCCACGACTGTGGCGCGCAGTCGACTAGCACAGCGAGACCACGAGCGGCGCGCAGCGCACAGCCGACCAGGACCGCGGCGGGGGCGATCCATCGCAGCAGCGGGCCCCACGGTTGAACAAGCAAGAAGCGCCAGTGACAAAGCATTGCGCCAGGACCCAGGCGCGGCACGCACTCACGCACTGCAAGGTGGCGAGGACACCACTGCCTTGCTCACTCCCTGCCCCTCGGCCTAGCCAGCCTGACCGTCGCGATTAACAGGGCCACAATCGCAGGGGCGCTCAAAACGCAACCCGACGCCACGGATTGGCCCCCGACAGCCCCCAGGCGCCAAGTGACCCTGCGCCCGCATCACCCGCAGTGCCCCTGTCACAAACTTCTTCTCGGACGCGCAGTCACACCTGTGTCACGGCGACCAACAGGCATGGACGCAGCAGTACTGAGCAGCAGGCGGAGGTCAACAACAGTAAGGGCCCCCAGCAAGCTCCGAGCAGCCCCTGCGGCCCCCACGAGGCCCTCGAGCGGCCCCCGAAGAGGCCCCAAGAACCAAGAAGCTCCCCAGAGGCACCCAAGACACTCCGAGAGGCCTCCTCAGAGCCGGCACGAAACCCAAAGACGCCCCAAGAGACCTATGAGAGTTCACGGAAACGCCGCTGGACATGGTATCGGGGATGGCTGGTGGGGAGACGCAAAGCGTCACGAAGTGACGCGTGGACGAGGCCACGCGCAAACCAACCGGGGGGGGGGCCCACGGCGGCCTCGGGCCCGCCACGCGCACGCACGTGCTCTGAGCCTAGCGGGGGGATCGCCAGGATCGCTTGAGAAATTCTTCTGGGAAACGGCCTTCCTGCGCTTCGCGGGGCTGACACAACGCGAGGAACCACACATCTGCAGCGTTCAGCGCGCGCATCCCCCTTGTCACCCCCTGCCCCCGACCCCTTGCATGGAGTTGTGCCGACGACGTGCCCACCGTAGCCGACCAGTGCAAGTGTACGGCGGCTGCGTTCGAGCGCGTTTGCAGTCGGCCTGTGCTGCCTTTCCTGGTGCCTGTCGACGGCCTTCGCCGATGCAACCTCCACGCGCGATCTCTTCCAGCCCTCGCTCGCGGCAGTACCTCCCGTGCCTTTTTCCGCCTCCTCCTGGCAGGCCTCACCCTCGCCTCTCACCGGATGCGCGCCTGGGGCCCGCCTCTCGTGGCGTGCACGGCGTCACGGCGAAGGGGCGGAGCTCCCCCCCCCTTGGACCCTGGACGGAGGCAGCACCCTGCACAGGGGGGACGCTGGCCCTGGCCGTCTGCCCACGGGGCACCCTGCCCGCAGGCACCGCGTCACACACACGCCGCGCAGGTGACGCCGCGGGCCACCAGCCGCGGCGGCGACGAGCACGGCAGCCAGAGGGCGACGCAGCGGCGAAACGGACGCGCGACAGGCAAGGACCACCCCGTCAGGCGAACGAGAGCGGCCCGGCTGAGGAGATAAACCAAAGGGACTTCCGTCTCGGCGAGGGCCAGCGCCAGCTCCAGGGCAGTCGCTTTCCTCACCCTGCTCCTCCTCCTCCTCCTCCTCCTCCTCCTCCTCCTCCTCCTCCTCCTCCTCCTCGTCCCTCCTCCTCTTCCCTCCTCCTCCCTCCTCCTCCTCCTCCTCCTCCTCCTCCTCCTCCTTCCTCCCCTCCTCCCCTCCTCCTCCTCCTCCTCCTCCTCCTCCATCATCATCATCTCATCATCATCATCATCATCATCATCATCATCATCATCATCATCATCATCATCATCATCAACATCATCATCATCATCATCATCATCATCATCATCATCATCATTCCTTCTGTCGTCCTCCTCCTCCTCCTCTCCTTCTCCTCCTCCTCCTCCTCCTCATCGGCCTTATTGTCCTCGTCCTCTCCTCCTCCCCTCCTCCTCCTCCTCCTCCTCCTCCTCCTCCTCCTTCCTCTCCTCCTCCTCCTCCTCCCCTCCTCCTCCTCCTCCTCCTCCTCTCGCCTCCGCCTCCTCCTCCTCCGCTCCTCCTCTCCGCCTCCTCCTCCTCCTCCTCCTCCTCCTCCTCCTCCTCTTCCTCCTCCTCATCGGCCTTCTTGTCCTCGTCCTCGTCCTCGTCCTCATCCTCATCCTCCCCCTTCTGCGGCGAGATGCCTCCCCCTTCCGCGCCCGTGCCTCCGCCTGCGGGCGAAACGCCGCGCCATCCGCCCCCCGCTGGCGCTGCATCACAGAGGGACCTCGCTGTGGAGTTGGCGCCCCCTCGTTTGCGGACAAAGCTCGGCAGCAGCCTACAGGACGCGCCTGTCATCGGGAAAAAATGGAAGCAGCGTCGCCCTCGGTCGAGCGCGACGGGCTCGGCACTTGGCGCCAGCACTTTTTTCACGACCTCGCGACAGAATCCGGCCGTGGCAAATGCTGCAAGATTCTGCACTGACCACGGACGACTCAGCCTCTCAAAATTTAGAGGCATGTCGCACCCAAGGGAACTACACATCGTCTTCTGACCACCCCGTTCTATGCACGGTGCCAGCGGCGCGGTGAGCCTCAAATCTGACAAGGGCACCAGGAGCACGAATTGACTGACCAGAGAAATTTAAGCCAACGCCGCAGCCCCGCAGGCAAAGGAGGCCAGCCGCTGGCCAGTGCAAACGCCACGTGCAGAGCGCAGGGTGACAGGGCCCCATTTGCGAACAGTGTGCTCCATACTTGGCATGCGAAAGGGAGCATCAGCACCGGCGGCACCAGCGAAACCAACAACAGCAAACCTGCAGCAGGAAGCAACGAGCTGCAGCAGCAGCAGCAGCGAGATCCTCTTCTGGCCGAGCCCGTCGCCTGATCCCATACTCGGGGTGCTTCTCGCGAGCCTCGTCCAGCACCTCCTCGAGAACCTGGACCTCGGCTAGGGCACACCACAAGAACCCGAGGATGCAGCTTGAGACGCTGACAACGCACTTACGCCACGCATGCGTGGGATCCGTCTAGCTGCAACCACAACACTTTTACGAAAGACCTACTTGCATCGAATAGCGCCCCCACGTCAACCAAATGTGTGCAGGCAGTGATGTCCCGCACGCGCCCAAGACAGTCATCGTCATCCCAAGGGCCCTCACTCCAACGTTTACCCCTGCCGTATCAAGAGAAAGGGAAGCCTAGCTCGAAGTAACACTAACGAAACCAGCAAGTGTGCCACGAAGGCTCCTCGTTCCTCCTGCCCCGCATCCTCCTTCTCCTCCCCCTCCCGGTCCTCCTTATCATCCCCGATAATCAGCTTCGCGTTTCCCCTATCAAAAACTCAAAAACATCATGTTATCGCGTAGAGCCCCGAACAAACAGGAAACTCAAGCAAAACCGAACAACGCAAGTGCACATCGAGAGCCGTTGGAGGCACCCGCCTCGAGCACAGTCTGCCGACGGAACGCGCGGCGATCCTGCCAAAACCAGCAGTGAAGGCCAGCCGCTGCTCGACTGCATCGTTTGTGGCATGACTCCGATTGCACCCTCAACACGATCGGCAACACCCGACGTCGGATCGTGTGCAACGGCTCCTAACTTCGCGTTTCGCGCTGCGCGAAGCGCGAAGCGCGAACAACTTCGCGCTCTCGCGCCGCCCCCCAAAGGGGAGAAGAGGAGGATGAGGAGGAGTCGGAGTCGAACCGCGAAGCGCGAAGTGCGAATAACTTCGCGCCCTCGAGGGCGCCCTTGCTGAGGAGCTCTCTACGCTCTCTCCGAGGCCACGGAGGGCTTCTCCGAAGGCCGGCCGTCGCTCGGCCGTTCACTCCCCGTGCCTTGTTCGGCTTCGTGCGCGCTCTGCGTGCTGCTCGATGGTCGCAGAAGGGCTCCTCGATGGTCCTCGCGCCGAAAAAAAAACGCAAACGCCCGAGCAATGCCAAGTTCTGAGAAGCCCAGCCGCCTTCCGAGAAGGTTTGCCCCATCGCACTTCCCCCCTGGGCACGCCGCCGAAATAGGAAAACTCTACAAGTTGCCCGCAGAAACCAAGCACCGAAGGTGTAAAGGCCACGTCGCTTGCTCGCAAGGGTCACTCACAAAACCACGGTGCCCCTTCGAATCGTGGAAACGCTGCCGCGTACGCAGGAGAGAGCGCCCTTCCCAAAGGCCTCGCCATTCAGGATCTCAGTCAAAGCACGTGCTGCCCAAGCGCGATGCTGTCGAGGACCATGTGCAAGAGCATGCAAAGCCTGCAGATGAAATGCCGAAGTGTGTGTGTGTGTGTGCACCCTACCCATCGTAGGGTAGCACCCTACCCGTAGTCTCGCCTGGCCATTGCATTCTGCGTTAGCTCATCAATCGGCTGGTCTGGCAGCTTTACAGGTTGTAACCCCGCCCCACTGGCTAATTAGCACCAGACTTCTGCTGGCGCTTCAACTCCTGGCGTCGAGCCACGCTCTGCGGGATGATTGGCCACTGCATTTGGGCTTTACAATGCCTCATTTTTCCCACAACAACCACCACCAATCTGCGTGGCCGTGGCTGGATTTTTTCATCACGGCGCGTTCGACTGAGTTCGTTCGCAATCGGCACCTCCACCTGCCGACCACGCCTGAGGTTCCTCTGCGCCGCCGACTTATCAGTGTCTACATGTTTGTCCGAGCTGAACTCCCGCCCACTCTGCCATCTTCGGCCATTAGCCTGACTGCGCCAAGTTGCTGCGCGCGTGGCCGCGACGCCAAAATGTGCGTAAGCACATCTACGGTAACACGCGTCTGGAAGCTTGCACGGCCAGACAATGCCAGCGAATGGTGGATGCGCTTGCTCCATTGCCGCTTCCAGCTGAAACTGCAGTCGCCGTCTATGCGGGTACCTCCGCAGCAACTGTTGCTGCTATTGCTACTGCTGCTGCACATCTTGGGTGTGGAATCTAGTAACGACAACTGTGTTTGCAATATTTGTGCCACACGCGCACTGGCAACGACACACTCAAGCCGAAAATCCGCCGACCCTTCCGCGTGTTCGGCGTGCGAAGACGCTGTCGATGTCGTCGTCGTCGTCGTCGTCGTCGTCGTCGTCGTCGTCGTCGTCGTCGTCGTCGTCGTCGTCGTCGTCGTCGTCGTCGTCAGTTCCGAGGAATTCGGGGAAATGGGAAGAGGAACATCTCAACTAAGTCGAAGGGAAGCCCCTTCGCCTATTCTGGGTTTCTTAATCAGCGTGGGGGGGTACCCCACCGACGGGAGCCGACCTCGCCTCGTCGTCGCGCCGCGACGGGGGCCAGAGCGCCTTCGGCGCGCGGTGGCTGCCCGCGACGGAGGTCGTAGTTGGGCTGTCGGCGGGCGTGACGCCCCCCCGACGCTTCTTAAGAAACTCGGAGAAATTCCTTCCCTGCGGGGGGTCATTGGTAGTACTGTCATTATGAAAACTCGTATTATCGTGTTTCGTCCTCCTCTTCCTCCTCCTCCTCCTCTTCCTCCTCCTCCTCCTCCTCCTCCTCCTCCTCCTCCTCTCCTCCGCCTCCCCCTCCTCCTCCTCCTCCTCCTCCTCCTCCTCCTCCTCCTCCTCCTCCTCCTCCTCCTCCTCCACCCCGTCAGAAGGAAGGGGAGGGGGAAGGAGAGGGCGCGAGCCCGGGGAGGCGGTGCCGGCCGTGGAGGCCTCCGCAGAGCCTGCGAAGCTGGCAGCGTGCAGTGCGCGCTTTGTCGCGCCCCATGCACGGAGCTTGCCCGGGGGGCGCCCTGAATACGGGGCCACATGCGAACCCTACCCGAGGGCTGGCAAGGGCCTCCAAAGGCCAGAAAATAATGCAAAACCTCCCGTCGCGATTTTTTTTTTTTCATAGCTCGAGGGGGTCTTGGCTGGAGGCGTGGTGCGCTCGACGCCGGACTGTCTGCTCCAGGGGCCCCATGTAGAGGAAAGAGAACTATGCACATATACCGATTCTGGCCAGGCCCGTCCTGAGCCCAGGATCGGTGCATACGCCCTCCTGCCTTGGCCAGGAAGGCATGTGCACCGATCCTGGGTCAAGGATGGGCCTTGCCAGGATCGGTGCATGTGCATAGTTCTCTTCGCCCGAACATGCGAACCCTACCCCTCCCCCCCTCCGAAATCGTGGGGGGTAGGGGCAGGGTTCGCATGTGGCCCCCTGCTGAAGCGAACCACCGCAAACCACAAAAGGGCCCTGACAAGAAGCATGAAGCCAACTAGTGGACCTTGCCAACGCCTCCTGAAGGAGAGGGGGGGGGAACAAAAAAAAAAAAAAAGGCGGGTACGTAACCCGAGGAGGAGGCGTGTGTCAAGGGAAGTGGTACCAACCCGCAGCACATCCGGAAACAATCCAGGCCTTCAGCCAGGCCTACAGCCTGCTCGCGAATCGGAAATTAGTGTTCGAAGCCTTGCGCAGGAACTGCAATCGATCAGCTCGCCAATAACACATCTATATCTGTCCCTGACAGTTCTCATGCAAACATCTCCACAATGATGCATCTCGATCAACACGCAGAGCCTGGCAGCCTGACTCATACTAGCACCTTGGGCCATTCAAGTACTTGCAATGCTGATAGTGTTTCAGATGAGCCAGCGAAGAGGGAACTGTACAGCACACGACAAAGACCGAAGTATGCATTGGAAGAAAAGGGATACCTCCGGCACACTGACGTCCTCAATCGAAGAAGTCTTCTGGCGTCGACGTCGCTTGACATACAAAGTAATGGCTACAAGCCCAGCAGTAACGAACACGCCTACCAGAAGAGGCCACTGAGGACCAGCCATTGCGCAAAGAGGGCAGCTGGGAAATGCCCTCGCCAATGCCCCCCTCCTGAAAGTGAACGGCATCGGCATGCTCACTTTGCATATTCGTACCTGCCCTATTCGAATGCAAGCGTACGAATTGCCACAAAGAAAGAGACGAATGGCACTGCAAGGGCCAGAAAACAAACACGCCGCTATAGCCCAATGAACTTTGCCACCCTTCACTCGACCCTCCCGTGTCCGAGACCACGAGGGCTTCCAGAGCCCAAGACGGCCAGACGGCCAGAAGATATCCCACAGCTGGACAGCCCCAGGACACCCCAGAAAGAGCAAGGAGCGTGGGCAACAAGCTTTGCTCCCAAGGTGTCCCAAGATCGCTCGAAGATGGTCCCCAGTGCCCCCAGGGTTGCCGATGCCGGCCCGGCAAGTCCCCAAGATGTCACCAAGATAGCCAGCGATAGCTCAGAGAGGCCCTGAAGGCCCACGAGACGCCCTGAAGGGCCCAGAAGGACCCCGAAACGGCCCAGACGAGACCCCGAGGCAGCCACCAAAGGCGCCGGACAGCGCAAGAGCGCGAAGACGGCCCCGGAGGGCCCAGAAAACCCTCCAAAAAAAGCACAGGAGGGCCCGAAAAGACCCCCGAGACGGCCACATGACGGCCCCAGGGGGCACTCCCGGCATCTGTTCATCGTATGCGATCGGCCACAAGAGCGGTGAGGACATTGCTGCGGATCCCTGCCCGGGCGTTTGCTCCAACAGCTGGCGAGTCGTTGAGGTAACCGGTGGGGGGGGGCATGACTGCGGAATGCTATCGTGGCACTTCTCGCCTCGGTCCTACGGCATGCTCAACACTGTCACGGAAACGCCAACGCCAGATGCAAATACAGTCGGCCTTGATTGGACAGGACACGCGAGAGGACACAAGACCCTTCCGAGGGCCACATCGCCATAGGAGTGTAAGAAGGCACGTGTCGCGAGGCACAGGACACAAGGGTACCATTGAGCTGGCAGGGTCGACCGACTAATCCGGGCCGACTGTACTCCTGCATCACGTGCCCACAGTGGGCGACGATTGGCGCGTCCAGAAAGCCAGGGGGGGGCGGTCTCTCGCAGCAGGCGTCTTCGATCCCACCTCGGAAGCCACCACCGTGCTCCCATGGCACGCTGAAGCGCGGTAGAACCTGGCAGAACAGGAACGGGAACCGCCGCGTCTGCCCACCCAGTCAGGAGGAAGACAGCGAGGAGGACGAAGTGAAAGCGACGATGACGAGGACTACGAGGAGGAAACCAAGCCCAAGAATTATGTTGATGATGATGATGATGATGATGATGATGATGATGATGATGATGATGATGATGATGATGATGATGATGATGATGATGATGATGAAAATGATGATGACGATGATGATGATTATGATCATGATACTGATACTGATACTGATACTGATACTGATGATGATGAGAATGATGATGATGACGATGATGATAATGATAATGATAATAAGAATGACGATGATGATGATAACGACGATGATGATGACGATGACGATGATGATGATGATGATGATGATGATGATGATGATGATGATGATGATGATGATGATGATGATGATGACGATGTTGATTCCGAACCGCGGAGGACGGCGTACGATGAAGCGGGATAGGACAAAGACGACAAGGAGAAAGACAACGAGAAGAACAGCGTGGGGAATATTATGGCAGACGGTAGAGAAGACGAGCTCGAGGGCAACGCGGAGGACGACGACAAAGGGAACAAGGACGAGGAAAGCGAGCAGACGGCGGTGGAATAGGTGAGGGTGCTTGCTACTTGTCGGGGCTACGACGGGGACTACCAGGAGAGGCCGTTTTCGAACCTCTGCGAACCATATTGGAACCCATTCGGGAACCTGTCGGAATCATTCTGGGGACGTCTGGGCCATTATGGATTGTTGTGGGGAGATTGATAGTCTGCCGTGGGCCTCACTGGCGACTCCTTCGGCCGTCGTGTGGCTTGTTTGGGCCATCTTGCTGCCTACCCAATTCGACTCTTCAAAAGTCCAGCTGAAAGCCTTTAGCGCGAGCACGGCCTGGACTAGCACTCCTCCTCCCACCCTACTACTACTACTACTACTACTACTACTACTACTACTACTACTACTACTACTACGACTACTACTACAACTACTACTACTACTACTACTACTACTACTACTACTACTACTAATACTACTACTACTACTACTACGACTACTACTAGTACTACTACTACTACGACTACTAACTACTACTACCTACTACTACTACTACTACTACTACTACTACTACTACTACTACTACGACTACGACTACGACTACGACTGCGACTACTACTACTACTACTACTACTACTACGACTACCACTACTACTACTACTACTACTACTACTAC